GGTAATCCTTGATTTATGACCATAGTCGAGCCTCAAATTTCTGTTGCTAAGTGAGACATTTGCCAAGTGAATTTTCCCCATTTTAGAACCCTTCTTGCCACAGTTATTAAATGAATCATTGCAGCTGTTAAGTTAGTAACACAGTTGTTAAGTGAATCTGGCTTCTCCAAATCTTGACTTTGCTTGCCGAAAGGTTGCAAAAGGTGATCTCATGATCCTGGGACATGTGACCCTGGGACATGTGACTTGCAACTCTCAAGCATCTGAATTTTGATCACATGACCATGGAATGCCACAATAGTTATAAGTGTAAAAAACAGTCATAAGTCACTTTTTCAACGCTGTTGTAACTATGAATGGTCATTAAACAAACCATTGTAAGTCAAGGACTACCTGTAATGGGTGCTTTAAGTTAGTGTGTGTGTGTGTTTGAGTGTTTTGTTTTGATCTTTATTATTCAACAAAAATTACAAATTCAAATGAGCAAAATGAAAAAAAATACAATGTGATAGGCACTTTAGTGCACTTACACACATCCTCTTAGGAATTTCTTTAATTTTTTAAATTAAATGTGAGGTCCACAGAAGTTGAATTAAAACTGTGAAAGTCAGTAGCTGAGACAAAAAATGATTTTTTTACAATCAAATTTAAACTTTTAACATTATAGGCTGAAATGAAGGCTGATCAATAACTGAATATCTTAACTGATTTTTTTAAAAAACCCATACTATAATAGCAATACACTTCATAGCACCAATAGTGTATCATGATCAGCACAGTTGCTTATGAAAATCCCAGTCTGTATTAACTGCCCCACAGAAATGATGGTTTTCTAATTTCCTAAGGAAGTTAAGGTCAACATGCAGATGTAGTGTTTTGCTCCCAGTTGGGCAATGCTCCCTGTTCTCCATAATAAGTTAAGAACAATTAACATTTTGCATTCTTCCTTAGTGGACAAGATCTAATTTAATGAGGTAAATATTTGCTACTTTTCTTCTTCTGTTTAAACAAAATGGAAATAGAAAAGAAATCTTAACACTTTCCACCAAACAGATTTTAGTAAAGACATAATATTGTATCTCAATAGAGAACTTCCAATTAGCTGTAAATAAAAACAAGAAGCAGTTTGGTGCACTGGCTAAAGTAGTGACCTAGAAACCAGAAAGCCAATTTCTATGCCTGCTTTAGGCATAAAAGCCAGCTGGGTGACTTTGGGCCAGTCTCTCTCTCTCTCTCCTAAAAAGGCAGGATAACAATTTAATCATTAAACTTAAAAAAACTACAATATATACATTTAAAAATGTAAATAAATAAGAAATACTCTTTCCCAAGCAGGAAAGAAACTTAGGGGAAAATAATTCCAAAAAGCAAGAGGAGGTCATGGGACATGAAGAATAAAATAATTGCAAGTTTTGTAGCTTTCCCCTACATTTATAATTATGTTTGTGCATTAAGGGATCTTCCTGCAGCTTTAGAAAATATTTCGGTGAAGTTTTTTCCTACACCAAAAATATTGAGTATGTGTCATAATAAAATAACAAAATCTCCATTGTCCTAAGAGGGGGGGGGGAATCTTTTGTCACTCTGAGTTACCTTACCAGCAGATTAGTAAAACCTCAAAAATTGAAGTTTCATAACAATTTCATATTATTCCCTTTCAATATAAGCAACACTATGTAAATGCAACAAAAAGTATAATAAGAAATAGTGAGAAGAAATTCAAATCATAAGCTAGAAACAAACAAAGAAAATACTGAACCTACTGTACACCAACACCATTCGCTACATGTTTCCACACCCTTCTATTCCAACCAAAGTGCTGAAGTTGCTTTCCCAAGATTTCAGTCTGATGACCGAAAACAATGGAAGGAAACAATACAGCTCAGCAAAGTTGTTAGGTATTAGTTGATTTAAGTATAGTATCTCTGTTTTATGTTGTTACTTGATAAAAGCCTTTCCTAAAATGTATTGAAATTAGTTTCAGGATAAATAGATGTTCATATTTGAAAAATTCAGCTGGATACAAATAACTATAAATTTTTAGTAATAAATGTACTTTTCAAAAGAAAACTGGCTTCAAAATTTTCAGTATTCCTCATAGAAGAATCTCTTTAGCCCTTTGGATGTTGCTAAACTACGACTCCCAGGAGTTATTATTTGCCATGATGTGGCTAGGAGTGCTGGGAGTTGCCATTCATGCCATAGATCAGTGATGGCTAACCTTTTTGCTATGGCATGCCAAAAGCAAGGGGAGCGGGGGGGAGGGTCGTGCGTGCGCATGCCCACACCTATAATTCTATGCACTCTCCTCTGTGCATGCTTGCGCGACATCACCCCCTGCTCTTGCCGTGCAATGGCATAGTGGACCCGTTTTTTGCTCTCCCCAGGCTCCAGAGGCTTTCTAGGAGCCTGGGGAGAGCAACCCCCCCACCCGGAGGCCCTCCAGAGGACAGAAACGGCCCATTTTCCAACTTCTGGTTTGTCGGTTGAGCTGTTTTTCACCCTTCAGAGGCTTCAGAGAAGGGCGAAAAATGGCAGAAAATCATGGCAGAAATCAGCGGAGCTGACAGGGTAATAATGCCTTGCATGTCGTCCTAAATGGCTCCACGTGCCACCTGTGGCACATGTGCCATAGGTTCGCCATCATGACCATAGATCATTCTTATGAGTGGGAAAAAATCATTGGAAACAGAAAACTACAAAAATGAATTCTAATCTTTCTCCTGGCATGCCAATTTTCTATATATACATACTAAATTTTTGATATGAATAAAAATAAGACTGTAAAAGCTGAAACAGCTGTATTATGAAAGTGTTATTACAATACAGGTAGTCCTTGACTTATGATTAAAATTGAGCCCAACATTTCTGTTGCTAAGTGAAACATTTGTAAAATGAGTTTTGCCCCATATACCTTTCTTGCTGCAGTTGTTCAATGAATTACTGCAGTAGTTAAGTTAGTAACATGGTTAAGTGAATCTGGCTTCCCTATTGACTTTCCTTGTCAGAAGGTCGTAAAAGGTGATCATATGGGATACTGAAACCATCATAAATAGAGTCAGTTGCCAAGTGTCTAAACTTTAATCACATGACCATAGGGATGCTGCAACAGTAGTGTGAAAAGCGGTCATGTTATTTTTTTCAGTGCCATTGTAACTTCGAAGGGTCACTAAACATATTGTAAGTCGAGGACTGCCTATATATTTATTACTCCATTTCTAAAAGTATAGCTTGATTTACATTAATAAAAATAACATAAAACACAAATAATTTATATGAGAAAAATGCATGTTCAGTCCCAGACTAGAAAATGAAGGGATTGCCAATCCAGTTTAAACTACAGTTAACAGTCCACTTATAGCCATTGTTTATGAATCATTATAGCAGATAACTATTTGCCAATAAATGTTCTCATGTAAATCACTATTTCAAATAGTTATGAACATTTTATTCCAGGCGTATTTCGGGAACAGGGCATTTTCAACAAAAAATAATTCCTACATCAAAAAAAAAAAAAACCGAACACAGGAAAGAACATAAAGGTATGGCAGTATCTCAGATCTCATAAACCAAACATTCAGACTGAGAAGAAGAACAGAAATGAGTTCAATTGTGATCTCTTCATTGCTTCCTTGCAGACACAAAGTGGGTCATTAAGGCCCACGACTGTCTTGGCCCAGAACAGCACGCACCCATATCTTGAGGATTTAATTACTAGAATGCTTAACCCAAAACAGTGCATCAAATGCTCTCACCAAAATATATCTATGAGCTGCACAGTTTTAGTTAAACTTGGGCTTTAAAACTTGGGCTTTAACAAATCATTTCATAAATTAGAGGGCTCTCTCTCTTCCCCACCATCTTTACATTCCGGTTTTATATATCTATCCTGTTTAATCATTTCCTTTCCACACGGATTTTTCGGCACATATCTAATCTTAAAACACTAAGTTCAATGAAGAAAGAGAGAAAGAAAGAAAGCACATCTTCTGGTCTGCAAAGTATATAAAACATTTTTTTTTTAAATTGACTTCACCTTCATCAATAATGAATGTTGAGACAAACAGAAATAAGTCTACAGACATCTACAGGCAGATTCAGTTGCAAAGTATGACTGGGGGGGGGCACTCGAGTTCAAATTCCAACTCCCCCCATGAAGGTCTAAGGCAGTGGACCCATCGCCCCACAGGGGGGCAATTTGATTTTTAATGTGGTCAAGTTGAACTTTGTTTAAACCAAGTTAATGGCTTTTTAGGCTTCCTCAGCTGTGAGTAGAGTTCACTTTTTGAGTAAAATAAGAATTATAAGGGGGGGGGCATGTTCCAGGATTTTAGAGATGCTTAGATGGAGCATGGCCAAAATAAGGTTGAGACCCACTGGCCTAAGGTCATCTCCAAGCCTTCTTTCTCTCAGCCCATCTTCACCCTCCAGGATTGGTGCAGGGTAAGATAAAAGATGCCAGCTAGATGCGAACCTTCACCCCCACCTCCGCCTTCCTTTGGGATATCGAAACTAAGTAAAACGAAGCCAGGTTCATATTTGCAGACCGGGCTGAACACTCGGACCGACACCCTCAGAAGGGAATCCGGTAGCACGACCGCGTTTACGGACGTCTCATCGAAACCATTAGGGAAGCTAGTCATTCGGAAGACTCGCCGGGGTGCTTTGCTAACCGCAGACCCGACAATCTCATGACAGGCCAGAACGGACGATCGCTCCACAACCCCGGGAAGGAAGGAAGGAAGGAAGGGGGAAAAACCCCAGCCTCGCCTGGAGCCTCTGACAGCTCAAGAGGAGGAAGTCAAGAGTGAGCCGCCGCCGCCGCCGCCCCATAACCGGATCCGGGAGGAGCGGTCTGTCGGGCGGAAGCCTGGCCCCCCGACCCAAATCGTCACCACCGCACGGGGCGGGTCGGCCACGGCCGCCCCTGTTCCCCATCCCACACCCGGCCTTGCGTCCTCTGAGGAGGCGCCGGTCACCACCTCCCCGCTTGTCGTTACCTCTCGAAGAAGTGCCTTAGGACCAAAAGGCCGGCGGCGAGCGGGATCGCCGCTAGAAGGTGACCGGCGCGGTATCCCTCGGAGGTCTTTCGCTCCAACTCGGCCCAAGTCACGTTGCCCGGAAACCAGAAGCGCTCGTTCCAAAACCAGGCTGCCACGACCGCCATTTTCCCACCAGCCCACCCCCACATGCACACACCCGGCGCCCGCCCGCCTGCCCGGGCTCCTGCTCTTTCCAGCAGCGGCGGCCGCCACCAGAATGCCTCGACTGCCGCCGCCGGCGCGAGGGGAAAAAAGGCGGTAGCGAACGAGGGGGTGGGACCTGGCCAGTCCCCGCCCATCTAGCTTCCCGAGAGAGGAGGTCAAAGCCGACGCCCCTTTCCTCACCCCCTTCGGTACCGTTAGGAGCAGCAGAGCGCATGCGCCTCATTGAGGCTAATTCGGCGGTCGGGAGGCGAGGAATTTTTGAGGCTGAGGGGGGGGGGGAAGGCGGGAAGAAAGCTGGGCTGAGGGATGGGGGCTCCGCTGACTAACTGAGGCGGCTGTGTGTGTTGGCCGACCCCCGCCTGAATTCCGAAGTTGCAACTTGGAGGGGGGGGGAAGCGAGTTGGATGGCTTAGTTTCTGCCTTTTACGGTTGCCGCTGTTCCACCCAATTTAATAAGCGGTTCCTCACTTCTTCATTAATGGAAAGGAGAAGAACTGGGGCTGCGTCATGTGACGCGCCGCTTTATCCTCTCCGAGGTGACGAAGGAAACGTCTATTGCCCTGGCTTCAGCCAACCGCGTGGCTGCTTCAGTGTGTGTGTTCACCGTTAAGCAGACTAAGCATGTGTTAAGGGCATCAAGCTCAAAGAGGGCATCACAAAGTTGAAAAAGAAAAAAAAAACTGTATAAAAAAAGATTTTTACAGTGTTTGTAAAGGAGGGGATCACCAAGATTTGTTAGTGGTTAGGGCACCAGTGAGCCTTAATCAGCCCACTGGTATCATCCAGTCCACGCTGCAGTTCTTGCTTTAGAACCAATATCCAAGAGCACCAAGGACCTCACAGTTCAACTCTTTGCTTCAAATATTCTCTTCTATCGGAATCCACACTGCCCATAGATTGTAGAGCAAAAATCTGATAAGTGTTTCTCTATATGACTATGCACACGCCTGTTGGAAGAAATGTCCAGTTTCTCCCCCCCCCCCTTGGAACTGAACCCAGAAGGACATTTTTTCAAAACACACCCTTTTAAAATATTTAGGTATAGATGGGATACTCACATCTGCTTTTATTAAAAGTTTTACACTACTCATCTTACTTTATTAAAAGAGTTGTGTGTCTCATTTTCCTTTTTCTTACGTGTGGTTTAATTCAAATTTTAGAAAAAAATATTTGTAAGTTGAAGTAAATTTCTTCTGCCTTTTTTTTTATAATGCCTGTCTTTTAAGCTAGAAATGTTTCAGAAGTTTTGCAGATACCTTTAGTATATCCAATTGAATAGTTTGACTTTTTGTTTGCCACTAATACGAATCCCTAGTGCCGCATAACAGAGTGAGCTCCCGTTACATGTCCCAGCTTCTGCCAACCTTCCAGTTTGAAAGCATGTAAAAATGCAAGTAGAAAAATAGAAACCACCTTTGGTGGGAAGGTAACAGCACTCTGTGTGCCTTCGGCATTAAGTTATGCCGGCCACATGACCACGGAAAAGTGTTTGGACAGCACTGTCTCTTTGACTTTGTAACGGAGATGATTACTGCCTCCTAGAGTCGGGAACAACTAGCACATATGTGCAAGGGCAACCTTTTTTTACCTCTTTTACCTTTTACCTTTTTAATATTGAAATCCTTCAAAACCTTACCCCAACTCCTTGATTTCCTGTAATAATAGTTTTGATAATTTCTTCCAGGAATGATAGCCATCAGTGCTATTTCTAATGCCCCTATCCTTCTCAATAAGTTTAATATTCAAAATAATTAAAAAAATTATCCATTACAACTTGGTGTTCTGTAATTTCATTACATATGCTGTCCAACTTTTCAAGAAATGTATCTAGTTAACAAGGTTGGCAGTCCAGGATTCAAAAACCTATTACAGATATCCATTTCATTCTTCTTTATCTTCTAGCTCCCTCTGGTGTCCATCTCTCTCTCTGATGTTAATCTTCCTTATTATAAAAAAACTGCAAACAATCACCATTTTCTGGTGGGGGAAAAATTCTTCTAATTAATTCAAAGCTATAATTTCAAATTTATCTGGACTCTTCCAGATTCTGCTGTTAACTTTCCAAAATCTATATTTTAAGCATCCTTATGCTGCATATCCAAAAATATATTTCCAAAACTTTTAAATTCAAATTTGCACCACCTTCCTCTAAGACTCACCTGATAAATACAACAAAACCTTGCCAGACTGAAGGATTTTAATTTCTCCAGTACAATAAAAAATCCAAAAATTGTTCAAGAAATGAAGAGTCAGTCAAGCTTAAATGTCAATAAAATGCTGTTTTTTCAGTGTGAACAATGCAATTCCAACCTCTAGCCTCTCAATTCAGAAGACAACTGCAAAACAGGCAGATGCTGTGGTCTACCCACAAGGAACAGCTGTCCAGATTGTCACAATCATAGGTAATCTCAGTGATCTCCTACCTCTGGAGAGATTATGCAGGCCTGAATTCAGCATCCAACTACAATTCTTGCAAATGCAGTCTCACATCGACATGATGCCAGGCCTGCACAAGAACTCTCTAAATTTGTTTTTGTCTTTCAGTAGCATGACCCTGTCTTCATTTACAGTTCGTAGCAATGCTAGGAAAAAAACCTGGCAATTTCAAGATTTCTCCCTTGAACACAGTACAGACCAGATCTCATTCCCAATCCTTGATTTAAACCAGGGGTAGTCAACCTTTTTATACCTACCGCCCACTTTTGTATCTGTGTTAGTAGTAAATTTTTCTAACTGCCTACCATTTCCATATTAATGGTGATTTATAAAGTAGGGAAGTAACTTTACTTTATAAAATTTATAAAGCAGAGTTATAGCAAACCCCTACCGCCCACCATGAAAGCTGGAACGCCCACTAGTGGGTGGTAGGGACCAGGTTGACTATCACTGATTTAAACAATCAAGAGGGGAGGAGATGGAGTGCAAGAGAAGGAAAGAGGAGTTTGGCTGGAGAAAAGGGGTGGAGGAGCAGGAAGCTGGGAGAGAGGAGTGGGATATACCTAGAAAAAAGGAGGAATAAAGGAATAGGATAGTAGAGGCTTCTATGGGCCAAGCCTGAGGGAGATAAGGGGCTAGGATATGGGAGGCTTCGGTGGGGCAAGCCTGAGAGAAATAAGGGGATAGGATAGGAGAGGTATCCTTGGGGCAAGCTGAGGAAGAGTTTGAGTGAAAGGAGGAAAGCAGAGGAAACAACAAAGGAGCAGAAGCTGTGGAAGGAGAGCCCAGCAGCCAGTTCAAGAGAGAGTAAAAAGCGAGAAAGAGGAAGAAGGTCCAACCAGCCACCTGAATATCACCCCACCACATGACCAGCCTGCTGAGAGGAGGCTGATCACCACCCCATCACGTGACCCTGGCAAGTAGAAGTGCATCAGAGAGGGACCAGGGTGGACTGGGAGCTATACCAAAAAGGGCCAGGAGAACCCGGACACCAGCAGCCCTTCCGGGGGTAGTGCTACACATACTTAACTACTGTGGGAATTGTTGTTTTTCTTTAAGTTAACACAAAGCAATGGTGAATAAACTTCCTTGCATCCATCCTTCTTTTAGTGAAATCTGCTCATGTGGCTAGACAAACCTTATTCAGTCCTTGAGGGATTCCTTGTAACTCAGGTTGTTCACAATCATTTCTCAAAAACGTTCCATGTTATCAGTTACCATAAGTCAATATATTTTGTTATCCAGGATAACAAGGAATCTGGTAAACATGGGACAAGATGTTGGTATCAGTACAGCAAAGAATGAAATATGTTAAGATCACTAGTTAGGAAATGCTAAGCTGAAAAATATGGTTTTCATCTTAGACCTCATCTTACTCAAGTTGCATTAAGTTTTGTTAGACTTCACTTTGTGGTCTGTTGACTTTGCAGTAATCTGTTTTTAAAATGCCTTTATAAGGTTTTGCAGGATTTTGTTTCAGAAGTGTACCAGTACTTCTCAGTGTACTGGTAACAGAAAAACAAAAGTGGTGTGTTCCAGAAGTCCTTACCAAGTTGAAATAAAATTGAAAGTGCTTATTCAGGCAGTATCACAAGATTTGATTTGCCATCTAAAAATAAAAATAGCTTTTCCTTTTGCATCATCATCAATGTAAATGTTAAAAGCTGTAGTATAATTTAAGTCATACTCCAATCTGTTAGTTTCTTCTGCCACTTTTGGCTGCATTCTCTTGGCCAGGCTGCTATACATTTATTATATCCATTATTTTTCCACTTAGTACATAAGCAACATATAAATACTGGAATTATTAGGAACAAAAACATAGAAAACCACATAAGAAATGTGAAGAGGTGAAAAGCAGACGTTGAGAAAGAGAGAAATGTAATGTAATACACCAATTACAGGAAGTTGAATAATTTAGAAATAAAATAGCATCTGCATTTCTCGGAATGAATTGATGACTTATAGAAAGTCAAACACTGTGCCCTAGAGGTGTTGCAGAAAATTGCAGGCACCAACTTTAAAGTCAATGTGTGTGTGTGTGTGTGTGTGTGTGTGCGCGCGCGCGCCAGCAATGCAAACAATTAAATATTCAGAAATAAAAGGCAGACTGTAAATACTGCACAAAGAAAATACTGTCTGAGATGGCAACATACAAGAACCAAAACAAATTCTGCCCAATTCTAGAGCACAATTAATTTCAATAGTCACAATAACGTATGTTTTGTCACATTATCTTTACCCCTGAGAATGGGGGGAAGGGGGAGAATAAGAATGGAATACAAAGCTATTTTGAT